AGACCGCCACGAACTTTTTATGTACAGTGGTGGGGGAGACCTTATCTTTCGGGGGCCATCATCTAGACATTTACCGGTCTCTCAAATATCTACAACTTTAGTTTGCATTTTTTTCTCTGTATTGCTCTTGTTTTTTGCTATAGTTAAAAAAACGTATTTCAGGCTATATTGTTAAATTAACAAATGTTTATATTTATAGATAATACTTTCCACTAATAATTCCATGAAGAACCCAATGCCGTTGAATTACAAATTTTTTAACATAGTACATAGGGTCAGATCCAATTTGCCTGGACTAAAAATATCGTCTGTATCATGTGTCTTAACAAAGGTGTTTTTATGTTATCTAACTGTACCTATTTTATAAACTACAAATTACTTTTGTGACTATAATTTTCTTTTTATTACATCACAATTTTTATTATTCTTCTGAATGTATTTATAAAATTCATTATTTCTGGACTTCTTTTATTTACCAGAACATAAAGTTAAAAACAGACTAAAACTGTATAAAAGACAAACAAACAAAGTCAGTATTAGAGATAAGAATGTTTGCGAACCACATGGAAACCAGTTTTTTATGCCCTTTAGTTAGGTCAAAGGCAGCAGGCCGTGCGGTTAAGACGTTTACTTTCACTTGCAGTTTAATAGTGGTTCGGTTTGTACGTGATTGTGTTAAAGTTGCGCATATAGTAAAAAAAGTCTTTTCTTAATTATTATAAACTAATTGTGTTATAATTAGTGTTCTTCGATGTCCAACGCGACTTGGTGAGTACCTACACAATGTATGTACAATCGTTTATCAATTAATTGTGTCTCCTTTAATAAATTGGTCCTCATACGTACGTATGCTCATATAAGCATGTCACAGGCGACAACTTATTAATTTTGGAAATTCTAAAGGTAACAAAAATAAAGCCTTAGGTTTCTGCGGTTCTTCTTACAGTGTAATTCAGGTTCATAGACTTGTACAGACGTCTGTCTCTTCGTTAATTCACAGGACATCTTCAAGACTGTTTCGATATAGAAGAATACTTTCTTATATTTTGAACAAAATAACTGAAATGAACATAAAAGCTCATTCTTCTACTTAGATATTTAATCTATTTACATTTGATGAGCACTGAAGATGTCGCACGTGGTCGATGAAGAAATGCCGGTAACAGATTATTTGAACTTATGGATTTTCAAAACGATTTTTGTAACATATTTATGTAAATGTTACGTATTTCTTACGGAAGGTATTATGGATATTTATATGCCTACATAGGTATTTTAATTTAATTTATCTCTGATGCACAGATATCAATTTAAAAAATGCTATGAAATTATATATTGAACGGATAGATTTTTCTCTTCAATATATAAGGGCATGCACGAAAGGATTAGATTGAAAATAACCTAGTGATTAGGTATCATTGAAATTATAAAAATAATAGTGTTTTACAAGTGCATCTATCTTTAGGCATTTGATTTACAATGAAATGATTACTTATATTGATTTATATGTTCATTTGCCCAGAAACTATTTGGTGGCATATTGGATGAAATG